CCCCGGGCCCGCCCCGCCGGGGGCGCGGGCCGCGGCGACGGGGTTTGACCGCCGCCGGCACCCGTCGCGGCCGCTTCCGCCCTTCCCTGCGCCCGACCCGCGAGGCCGGCGGCCGCCCCGGCTCCGGAAGGAGTCGGCCCGGCGGCCGGATGTGACGCGCGGCCGAGGCGCGCAGGAGCCGCGGAGAAAGCGCAGAGCAGGCGGGTAGGGAGGGGCCGGGGGGCGGGCAGCGCCGAGGCTGGAGACCCCGGCCCGCCGGCGCACGCGGGGGCCCCCGGGGCCGGCCGGGCGGAGGGGGGCGGCGGGAGGGCTTCCGCCTCTGCTGGCCGGGCGCGATCCGCCCTGAGCGCCCGCCTCCCGGTAGGCCCGGTCCGAGGTCTGGCAGTCAGTGACAGAGCCGGGCGCCCACGGCCCGAGCGCCCCCGGCGGCATCATGCCCGCGCTCCTGGAGCGCCCCAAGCTTTCCAACGCCATGGCCCGGGCGTTGCACCGGCACATCATGATGGAGCGGGAGCGCAAGCGGCAAGGTGAGCCGGGCCCGAGCGGGAGGACACAGGGCCCCGGGGCGGCGCCGCTTCCCCGGAGCAGGCCTCCACCCCGGGCCGTGCAGCGCGCCGCCGCGGCCGCGCCGCAGGAAGGATGAGACAGGCCCGCGGGTGGTGGAAGCCGGAGGCCGGGTCTCCGCTCCAGAACCCTTGGGTCGGGAAGGACCTTGGAGAGCACCTGCTAGACCCACCCGCCTGCCCCCTCCGCGGGGAAAGAGCCATTGCCGAGATAGGCACGAGGGGCATCGTGGTGACCGGGCCTCGCTGGCCCGCGGTGCGCAACAGGCCGCTTTGTTAACCACCCTGCCGTTTTCCCATTCTGCCCGACTCTCTCTCCAGAAGAGGAAGAGGTGGACAAGATGATGGAACAGAAGATGAAGGAGGAGCAGGAGAGGAGAAAGAAAAAGGAGATGGAAGAGAGAATGTCTCTGGAGGAGACCAAGGAGCAAGTGAGCGAGTCCCCTGATCTCTCACAGCGCTTTCCCTCTGGCCCTCTTGCCTTCATCTCTGCTCCCCTCGCTTCTCAGATCCTGAAATTGCAGGAGAAGCTTTTGGCCTTACAAGAGGAGAAGCACCAGCTTTTCTTGCAGCTCAAGAAAGTTTTACACGAGGAGGAGAAACGGAGGCGAAAGGAGCAGAGGTGGGACTGGAGAGCTAAAAATAAAATCGGGGCAGGGTGTAACTGGGATCGGGTGACAACGACCGGCGTCTAGTGGCAAAAGGGGGCGCTTGACTCTGACGCGCCCGCCTTTCGCCCCAGTGACCTGACCACTCTGACATCAGCTGCGTACCAGCAGAGCCTGACCGTCCACACGGGAACGCACCTCCTCAGCATGCAGGGTGAGGAGTGGAGAGACCGCGTGTCCAAACGGGCCCTCCTAGGGGGTCACAGCCACCCCTTCCGGCCTCATGAAGCCCCTGTCCCTCCCTAGGGAGCCCTGGAGGACACAATCGCCCAGGCACCCTCATGGCGGCTGACAGGGCCAAACAGATGTTCGGGCCCCAAGTGCTTACAGTAAGGAGTAGGATGGGGCGTCCGGCCCTGTTCTCCCCCGACCTGTCCCACCCACACCCAGGCGCCCTTAGTGACCCAGCACTCAAACGATGGGCGTTACTGGCGTCGGACCCTTCACGGTGTGGGGGAAAGCCGGGCACGGTGGGCCCCTGAGGTCCCGCCTCGGAGTTTACAGCGGCCAGCTCTCGTCCTTCCTCCTCAGACTCGGCATTACGTGGGCTCAGCGGCGGCTTTCGCAGGGACCCCAGAGCACGGTCAATTCCAAGGCAGCCCCGGCGGTGCCTATGGGACCGCTCA